ATTTTGAAGGTCAGGGTTGAAACATCACGTGCCAGTGGCATCATGTGGGTGGTCCTCCTGTACTCCATCGCTCTAGCTGCCCAGTGGACTCATGAATGGACCAATAAGTTTGAATAGAAGAAAAACTTAGAGGCTCTAAAACCAAGGTTTCCTGTAAAATGCTGTAAATCTGTTCTATGTCTCACAAAACACAGCTCAGTGTTTTTGCTCACTAAGAGAAGTGAATTATTAATCCTCCTTCTCACTGTTGGAGAATATACTGTTTGTTCAGAGCTGTGCTGGAACATCTCATAAATCTGGAACAGGAGACGTTTCTACTGGAATAATTAAATCTGAGACGGTTGTGAAAAGTTAAGTTAAGAAAATGATAGAAAGAAAAATGTGCTAGTGAGTCTTTGCAGGGAAGGAACCAAACATCTCAGCTAATGTCTAAATAATATCACAGATACACTTGTCTCAGCTTTGACTCCTGACTCCATTTGATCCCTTTGCAAAACCGAAAACTGTCAATGTTTTGTCTGTCTGGACTTGACCATCGTAACAAGCTGGATTTCTACCACCCGCCGAACGTGGCTGCAGACGTTCCTGTGGTTTTTATCCACGGAGGAACACGGGGCTCTTGAAGAAGAAGATCTATTTTCTGTCTGCTGGTTCGGTGAATGTCTGAAGATTTGTCCTGATTCCTCCTTCAGTCCAAAGGCCAGAACACCACAGTGGTCCTCACAGCTTTCTAAAGATCTGTAGCACATATGTAAAGTGGATGACTGGAAAGTGAACAGTACTGATCAGAATTCTTCTGCAGTCAAACATCAGATAAGAAATGTAATTCCAAATGTCACTGTGGTATCTGAACTGACTCTGATCTGATTCCCAGGGGAACGACAGCTTGATTTGAGCCTGAGAGAATGGACAGATGTTCAATTAGTATGAAATAATTCAGAGTGTTATCAGTTTACAACAGAAATGACTATTAATTAAAAACGTCTAAAGGTTAAATCATGTAAAACCTCCACGTAGTTTATGATTTCCATGGAGTAAAATGATTTTTGTACTTAACCTTAAAGTTCACCCTCATATCTTATAATAAATATTTTTAATTTTTGTTTGAGTGTCTCTGATCTCAACCATGTAATCTGTTTCTAATGAATTAACAAATTAAAACGACACGATATTTTCTACATTTTTACAGGACAACATTGTGTTAATTGGACATTCAGGAGGACATCTTGGCAAAACTGTTTCTCATTGACAAAAGGGAGGAGCCAGTTAGCAGTGGGACAGTTTACAGGCGTCATTGGTGAGGATTACTGTTCAGTCACAGTTTTTTAATGAAGAAAACTTTGTTAAAATAAATGTATTTGTGTCACAAAGATCATTTTTTGTCTTCTAAGTTGTGTTTTTAATGCCTTTGACCTGTGGTCTTCATATTTTCAGTTGATTTCCAGAAGTTTGTACAAATGAGTTGCTTCATTTATCTCCAATATGTCCTGTACAGGTGTGAACAGTGTGGACAACATCATGGACTGTGGAGTACGTGTCCACCGTGCACAAAGCCATGAATGGGCTGGAAAACTTCCTGCTCTACTCTTCAACAAATCTATTGAAGAAACTCAGCAGGACAAAGTGAACCAGTGAGACAAAGAGACAAAAGGTCGATTGATGATGATGTTTAAATCTGTTGCATCTGTTATTTTTATGAAACTGTCAGTCCTCACTTCTCACCTCACTGTCTGTGAAGGCGTCGCTGCATTTAACAGGAGGACAGAAACTTCTGGCATCTGCTGACATCAGAAAACTGTTACTGCTCAATGTTTACTGGTTGTGCCACACACAGTGTTACGTCTTGTAAGGAGGTCGTGTTTTCACTGCTGTCTGTCTGTCTGTTAGCAGGATTATGCAAAAAAACTGCTGAACTGATTTAATTTAAACTTGGTGGAAACGTGGGATATGATCCAAGGAAGAACCTGTTAACTTTAAAAGCAGATTCAATTTATTTCTCTTTCTTAAACATTGTGAAATACTATTTTTTTTTCACATTTTCCCTGATTTCCCAGAGAATAGTTCAGGGAACTTGATGAACAAAATCAGACATATTTAGGGGACTGGTGCGTGTAATCTGGTTCGGCTTGATTTATTTTAAAGGGACAGCTGGGCCTGGAGGTTTGAGCTCTTCTGCCATTCTGGTTCAAAGTGTCATGTCAGTGTGTGTCACTTTACACTGTCTCACAGCTGCTGTACAACCAGTGCTCTTTTCAAATGTATTTGTAATTGTATATTATGTTTTTTTTATATGTATTAGTATGCATTCATTTGCAGGATTATACAAAAACAACTAAATGGGTTTTTACAGAGTTGGTGGAGGGATGGAGCCTAGTCCTGGGAAGAATTTTGTTTGGTTTGGATCATGGATTTAGGTCAGATCCAGGATTTTTGACCGTGTTTTATGACAAATAAATAATTGAGGTTATCAGACCACTTCAGATTTTATGTTGTTGGGCCTCGCTGGAGGTTTGTGTTCTGCAGACGGTCACTCTCGTTTTGAAATACTATTTATCGATCCCATGTAAAAACATAGTAACCTATACCAACATTTACCTATATATGCAGTAACCTACACAGTAAATCTACTTGAAGGAACTCATGAACCCTTTGTTTTGCCGTCGATCTCTGATAAATGACTTCATTCCTCTCAGACACGTCACACACAGTTTCAAATGTGCCAATAAGCTGCAATGAAATGAAACTGATGAAAACAAACAATCAACGAAAAACATAAGGCTGTAAAATGTACAGATTACTTTTATATATATATATATATATATATATATATATATATATATATATATATATATATATATATATATACATATATATATATATATATATATATAMAGAGAGAGAGAGAGAGATACAGAGTTCATGTCATACACATGCTTTGCAACAATACTAGTGACTTATCTTATCTTTAGACACAAACACACACAATAAAAAAGTAAATAAAAACGTATCATCATAATATATACCTAGTGGTTTGTATAGAATATAAGTAAAGTGCAGTGGCACAGGATGATAACACGAGCGAGTCAAAATAATGTTTTTACATAAAAAATAGAGAGATATCAAACACATTTCAGTAAACAACTCAAAAGATAAAGTCGAGATTTTTTTGTTGTGACATTTTAATGAAATTCAGAAAGATCTCTCACACATTTCCACATGGCCTTGTTTGTTTAAATAAACCTGCAGCGTTTTCCATTTCTTCTTCTTCAGGCTTTTATTTTGAAAAGCTATAACACACACTCACGCTCACACACACATACACACTCACACACACACTCTCTCACACACACACACACACGAGGCGGAGTTTCGAGCTCCAGTCTGAGGCTCAGTTGAGTTGTTTTTTGCAGCAGACTCAGACTCTGCTTGTTTCCTGCTGCAGGATCATCTGAGGTGTGAAGACCTGTGAACATGTAACTGTTCACACACACACACACACAAACACTCACACACACAGTCCGGGGGAACCAGCCGAAACAATGGACTCTGCTGTGAAGCCCACCGGGAGGAAGTTGTGTGTCTGTGGGCTGATCTGGTGGTCGCTCCTGGTCGAGCTGGCGTCAGGAGGTAACAAAGCAACTTTTCTTTCTTTTCTCACCACAATGAAAACCAACCAGATTCCACCTGGTTTCAAAGACCAGTTGTGTTAATGCTGTAAACACAAGCTCTCACCGGTTCACTCTGGCTTCATGTGTTGGGAGTTTACTCGGGTAATAATCTCCAGGTTATAAAAACAGAGAATTCAACCTAAACACGACCATGGACCTGTTTGTGTGTGTGTTGTGTCCCAGCTGCAGCTCTGGATCTGCAGCTCTGGATCTGTAGAACCAGGCTTAGTGTCGCTCTGCGCTGGATTGTTTAATGTGAGGCTGAATCACTGTGGTGGCTCACAGGTCTTAAAATGTTAACCTGCAGTGTGACACCCAGCTGGGTGAAATAAAATGTGACTGTGGGCAGGATTCATTCTCACTTTTGGAAATGCATGATTATTTTTGCAAGATTTCTTTGTGAGACTAATACTCCCAGTGTTTATTTAATATAAAATAAATGGCTAAAAATCCTACTGTTTATTTCATAATGTGAAGTGAAGACTATTATTATCAATTTTAGATTATCAGGCTGCGGTGTCACGATTCGTTCCAGCAAAAGAACAAAACTCTATATTTAAACAGCGTCAGTATTTTACACGGATTATCAAATAAATGAGGTCAATAATCCCAGGTTTTATTTTATATCATGGGAAATAAACACTAGGATTATTAGCCAATTCATTCCAGCAACAGTAAGACACTCCCACTTAAGCTGCATGATTATCTTGTGTTATCTTTCCAATGAATCATCCAAGTTATAGGAATGATGTGCATGAGAGCTTTGATTCTGTGTGCGTGCTAGGTGCACACACACACTCACAGGATCTACGGTTTGCTGGAAGCACCCACAGCACTCTCACCTTATCAGAGGCAGCAGCAGCAGCACAAATGGGACTTGTGATGCCCACTGCACTGGAAGAACTATCTGACTGTGACAATAGCACACTCAAATGAATTCAAAGAAATGGACGGTCGCTGCTGTACTGCGGGACCTAAGGGAAAAATATGTTCCTTATTTTTCTCCAGATGTACATTATTATTTACATCTGTGTGTTCATTCATCAGCCCGTCTGGTTGATTCTTGGGTATGTGTCATCTACACTCAGATTTGCTCCATGCTGTCCCCCTGGGGATAATCAGGAATTATTTCCCTGTGACTCACACTCAGCATATCATTGGCTGAGTGCAACTACAGTACAGACAGTGGCTCGACTTTGATGCATCACATTCTGAATATGTACATCCTCCCTTCATGTATGAACCATGTGGCTTTGATAACACCAGAGATGTTCTGAAACCATTGTTTCCTTTCTCCGATACCTGGAATCAGCAAATACCGAGTACTGGTCCCAGTGCATTTAAAAAAACGTATATAACCTATTTTATGCTGTATACTACCGACCATAAGGAAGTGATGATTGCTATCATTGTTATACGAGCTTAGGTTGAATCCATTGAAAGCAAAAACATATAGAGAACAAATGTGATGGGATTTATTTATTTATTTATCATGTAGTTTTACAGTCAACTGAAAAATAACACAAATAAATAAACGTAGAAATTCAGTCACCAGCTACTTGTACAGTGGCTTTCGGTCCCATTCCTTTTTCTTCACTGACTTTTCAGTATCATCAAGGTTTAAAGTTAAAGTTTTGGAACCCGGCTGAAAATAAATCGTGACCATAAAACATTTGTTATTGGAGCAAACATTTATACGATTTGGAAAAGGGAAATAAAAGGTAAAGGTACAAGAACGTACATAATTAATTTAAAGGTGAAGGAAATATGTATCCCATAAACTATTTCAAATAATCTGAATTCCAACGATCGAAGTATGTTTCTTCTTGAATTGAACCTTGTTGTTGTTGTACTGTTGCATTATACTGTAGTTTGTGTGTACATAGTATTTTTTATATGGTGTGTAGTATAGTAACCTAGTAACTCTGAACAATCCGGTCATAGCTGGCACGATTTTCCTTGGTTGTGGTAAACATCTCCATGGTTACAGCTCCACCAATCAGAGATGTTGCTATTACAGCTGAGGATTGTGGGAAGTGTTGTACTTCTCCTTGACGTTGTGTATAAAAAACTATTTTCTTGAAGCGCAGCTGATATCATACAGACTTGTGACTTCTACATCCTCATAGCTTGTGGTGAGTCTTCCTTGGATGGCTAAAATATTATGGCTGATAATTATAATCTCTAATCTGAAAATGAATACGATTTTTACTCTAGCTACCACTAAGTACCCTACTGGAGATTCTTCAACGTTCAGAAATGAAGTTTACCCTCAATTATGGAAGCTACCTTCGTTAGCACATACAGCTCCTCGGGTTCAGTGCTCAGACCTGCCCCTCGCTCCTCTCCAGCTCCGCCTTCAAGTCCAAACATGGTACATTTTGTGGTCAAACCCAAAGTCTCTGCTTTAAAAATGGTAGTTTCCAAACCACGGGTGATGTCACGGTGGGGTGCCACTTGAGATGAAGCCAAATTATACTTTAAAGATGTCTTATAGATAGTTCCATAGTTTTGTTTACTCACTGATGCCTGACCAGGCAGTGTCTGCACTACCAGAGGCATTTCCGTCGCTGTTATCGGAACATCTCTTTCTAAAATATTTATGTCCCAGGCTGTGATAATGCATCAGCAAAAAAAATGGCATGACAGTCAGCAAAGAGCAAAAAACAAAGAGACACTTCCGTCAGGTTGCATCTCTGATTTGTTGTATAACCTCAGCACATAGGCAGTGACAAGGCCTGGTCTTGTCCCTCAAATTAACTGTAAGGTGTTCACTGAAAGGTCACTGGCTTTGTTGTTGAGGGAGCGATTTGTGAGGTCTCACAAAAAAAATGTGTGACAAAGAGCGGCCCTGCAGACACGTAGATTACAGAACGACCGTCAAACAGCCCCGGATTCTGCCTCGGCAGGAACACTCAGGTGCACACGGGTGTGTTTATGTGCTGAGGTCTCTCATTTACATAGTCACATAATCTCTGTGTTTCTGCTACAACCCAAAAATTCTTCCCACCACAGACTCACACTGCTGCCACACTTTCCAAGAATTCAGTCACTTATTGGGGAGTTTTTATGGGGAAGACCCTTTTGTTTGAATCAAACATGACGCTCAGTCGTATGACTTGAACAGCACTGCGATGACGCCAAACTACAGTGGAGCGTGCATGTCCATCGTGCTGAACTAAAGGGAAAAATGTCATTGCTTTCCTCTTGGCTGGTTTTCGGAAGTGCTCCCCTGCCCACGCTGTTATGTACACAGAGCCATTCAGATGAATGAGCATGATGTATAAATGAGAAAGGACAATAAATTTGGTTTGTCTGAGTCAGGGTCCAAATAAGGATAAGTAACGCTGCATGCTTTGTGCCTGTGGGCCAATTAATTAATTTTATTTCCAGTTGCATATCAGAATCAAGCAGGCCACATGCACATAACTCCTGGCCGATCATAACGTAGGAAAGACTGGATAGTTAATGATGATTTAATGTCATTCCAACAAACAAGGACAATAAGGCAAACTGTCCGCACAAAAATAAAAATAACACAGAAAAAATATAATGGGTAGAAACTGTAAATGCAAATGTCCACTTGATCAACAGGGAGAGGTTTGGGAACCTGCAACCTTTAAAAAAACAGGGTGAGGAGATGTGAGGTTTACTGCAAAACATGTTTGATGTGGAAGAACGCTGACCCACTAGAAATATGTTTATTTGGGGGTAAATTAATTAATTCACTAAGAGAGCTGCAAACTAAACAACTATTTTGATAATTAGTTAATTGTTTTGAGTCCAGCTTCGTGGAAAAATGCCAAAACATCCACAACATTGTGATTGTAAGAAATGGTTATTTTATTTTTTCCTAATAATAAATGTCAGTTAAGAGTATTTCAAGTTTGCTGAGAGTTTAGAACATCAACATAAACTGTGTAAACTTCAAGAATAAAATCAGACTTATTTTTCTTAACTCTGGATTGTGTTGAATATGATTAATCAAAGAAACAAAGAATTTTTTGAGCCCATGCAGGTGAGATCTCATATTTTAGCATTCAGCATTGAAACTGGAAAAGGAAAAACAGAACTGAGCAGAATATCAACGCTACAAATTTCATTTTCTGTTGTTCCCCTTTTTTCAAAAGAGAAATTGGCTTCGTACGAAACATTTACAAAACCCTTTTTGAATTTAAAGCAGACAGTCAGTGAGGAAAAAACTCTCCAGACTTGATAGGTTTCTTTTCGTTCTTCTGCTGTTAAGTGAAAAAAATTGTTTCTTAAATAAATGCTCTGACTAATATATATTTTGACCTTTGTATATGTGTTAGCAGGAGATACATGTGATTGTTGTTGCATGTAGGTTGATTTATATCTGGGTTTTTTTGTCTGTCTCCAATCAGCTCCTGTTACTTGATGTGTGTGTATTGATGGTTGAAGGGCTAATTCACATGCTTTACTGGTTTAATTGCAGGCAAACGAGTCATTAGTGCATTAACCCTATTCACATAGTAAAAAAAGCCCATTTACTATCATTAACTTTCTCCAGATTCACCAGTGAGTCACTGAGGCCCATTAGCAGCAGGCCGCTCTGGCCTCTGGGTCATCAACTCCAAATAAATCAAAAATGGAATGGCAGAGATGTTTGTTTGTTAACCTTTGAATATGCGTGGGACTCGTGGAGCTCATTAAAAACCAAACTGGTGGTGCCCAGGCACAGAGGCTCCGATGAGAAAGCTTCAGAGCACGTTAGCGCAGATTACAGGGTGATGCGAAATGGCAGGGAGGTGAGGTAGAAGCAACAGCTGGGTCCGTCCGCCAAAGCAGTTTCGGGAACATGGGGCCACAGACAATGTGGGGACGTCAGAGCCTTTCATGTTCAGGTTGAAGGTTCCTGTCAGGGCAGGGCAGGCCCAAACATGCCCCACTCCCTCTGAGACACCTCCACATCCACTGCCTCGGTGTGGATACTGCTGCTGTGGCACATGAGTCAAAAGAGCTTTTAAAATTCAGATGTGCCGCTACTGTGGGTTTGGACAGTCCAAGAGCAACTTTCTCCTGCAGCTACAAACGAGCTGAAACGCAAACCTGCAATTCTGTTTGGTTTAGACTGGTGATTATCGGACAGGTAAAGCTTCAGGGCTCGTAATTATACTCCTGTTGCATGTAAATCATTATGGTGGAGCGTATGGAGTACAAACAGAACGGGCCCACCAGGAAGGCTGAGCAGATCCAAAGACAGTCACAAGCATTCTTTACATCAGGCGGGGTATAATTTGTGTGTGTTCGTGTGTGCTTGTACAGCTATCCTTGTGAGGACCAGTTTTAGCCTTTAACCTACGGAGAGAGGACATTTTTGTCAAAATGAGGACATTTTGGCCAGTCCTCACTTTGTGACCTCCCTTTAATGGATTGTTTGGGGGGTCAGGACTTTTGGGTTTAAGGTTAAAATTAGGTTTAGGTTAGGTTTAGGGTAAGGCATTTAGTTTGGATGGTTAGGGTAAGGGGCTTGCATTATGCCAGTGAGTGTCCTCACTAAGATAGCTGTACTGTGTGTGTGTGTGTGTGTGTGTGTGTGTGTGTGTGTGTGTGTGTGTGTGTGTGTGCTCCATTTGTAAAGAACAGGCAGGATGATAATTAGCTTGGCTTTTATATCTAAATGTCACATGTTGGCTATATTAAGACCACAATGCTTGACTTGACTTGCTCTGTGTTTGCTGTCGTCGCTGCTCTTCTCTTCCACTTCTCCCTCGTACTCAGCTCAGTTGTCATGCACTGGTTTTAACAGCCTGTAAAAGACTGTGAACACCAAACTGGACCATATATCAACTCCCTGTAGTTCTCGCTTTTTATTTTCTAAAAAGACATCTCTCTCTTTTATCTCTTCCCACAGCTTCCTTCTATGGCGACGGCTTTGTACAGCTCAAGGCAACAGAGTCGTCCGACCATAACATGCTACGTGTCCGCTTCCGAACCTCCAGCACCAATGGCCTGCTGTTTCTCGCTGCCGGCCAGACCGACTACTTCCAACTAGAGCTCCACGCTGGTCGCCTGCAGGTGGGTACATCCATGGCCCTCAGCATGTGAGCATATGTGTTCGAGCATACATTAGCGCACGCATGCACTCACACATGCACATGCTGTATATGAACGTGCATACAATGCATGCAGAGGAACGCGCTTGACCACAGACACGCTCACTCTACAGACACTCAAACACTGACCACCGTAAGCTATGGGTCCATCTCAGCTGACAGTGTCAGTCTCTCAACACAGTAACACAAGCAGACAAGCCTGCATGGTGTGAGCTCAGTGTTAACTCCCATACCAGTCTCATCTTGTCACAGTAGAAACCAGGAAATAATGAAAGTGGTCAGATGTGTGTTTTCTATTGTGTCTAAATGAGTCACTTCTCTTTTACCTGATCATAGTGAAACAGTTGTGCTACATTTCTTCTATTAACAGTTAAACTAATGAGTACGGCTGGTGTGCACATCTGATGGTACTCAATTACTGCACAGATAAAGGATTTTCTTTGTTATTGCTTAATCTTTATTATTAAGATAATCTGTTAGAAAGAATGTTGTGTCATTGTCAGTGCCCAAGGTGATGTCTAATGGGAGAGTGGTGTCGCCAACTACAGGTGCTCAAGTACCAATGAACCAAATGTGGAAAAAACAAAAACTTAGTCTGATGAGAAATAAAATGCAATTAATTTCAGAATTAAAGTAAAATCTCTTCTGATTGCTTCTGGTGACGAGAAGTATTTTATCATTTAAGCTCACAGCATTGAATTCCATAGTAGAATCCTACTAATTTGAAAAAAGCTCTTGTTATTGAGACCCTTATCCCAACCCTCCCTTATTTTAAACTCCACAAGCTGTCCACAAAAATGTGTTTGGGTTTGGGATGTAATCAGATAGACACACATGAAAGTAAAGGATTAAAAAGGACAATCTACATTCACACAGGTGTGTACACAGACACAGTGAGGACGGCTTATTATCCAACTGACTAAATCACGTTCAGCAGTGGGAAGAATAAATGATCAACTGATTGTAAACACACAAGAAGTCCTCACGTTGTTCAAGACACCTTTGGATTGAAGACGAGAGAAACTGAAAAGCAATCAATCACAGAAATGCAGCTTCAGGAATCACTGGAGACACAGAATCCAATATACAGATATAAATGACATCAGATTAAAATCCTACAGATACAACCTGGATAAAAACACATTTTAATCCTTGTCCAGTGACACCACACAATGTGGTTTTTTGAGTTTGTAATGAAAACTATTAATGTCTTGCACCAATAGGCACATTTTGAACAGCCATGAAATATGTTACTAGTTCTGCAAAAGTTAGAAACTGATTTTAACTTTTAGTTCAACTCCAGTGAAGCTGTGGATTGATAGATGTAGATAGAAAAAAGACACATGCGACACACACCCCTGGAGATTTACTTCAATGGCAAAATGTGTTTACCTTCGGAACACTTGAGAAATTTAGGGCAAATTTTTTGTCCTAAGCAAGAGACTCTATTTTTAGCCCACAACTCAAGATGGGAGGATTTAAAGGTGAAATACCTTCGCCCCTTCCAAAGCATCCTTTAAGCGACTCAGTCAACATAAAGAATGGACAGAAGTGTTGTAGGAAGCCTTTTTTAGAAACACTTGGATATGCATCAGAGTATTGGTGCATCAAACTAAAGAAATCCTTGTGACTATGTTTCTATTCGTGTTAGACTGTTAGACGGCCGGGGTTTAATCATACTGACGGCTGTGTTATATTGTCGTACTTCAGTGAGCACAAGTAGTGAAACACTCGCCCCTGCTCCTTAAACTGCCTCAGGTCGCCGAATGATTTTTTTTTTTGTTCACCCACACAAGCTTTCCTCGAACTTGGGGTCTCATTCCATGTGAGTCAGACATGAGCGTCGCTCCCTGGAAACCCTTGCATGAATAGCAGCGACTCGGAAGCAAGCCTTGACAAGCATGTCATCTAAACACAGCATTAGTCTGAGATGGTGACATGATGCTCTGAGGATATAGCTGAAGGCAAAGAGATAATAGTTCGCTTCCTGCGTGAAATCACAGACAAAGCGCACTGTTTTAAAAACAGGTGACATCATGGAGCATAAGCCGTCTCAGTCCTGCGTTTCCCTTCCAGATGTCTACAGTAAATTATTTGATTAATATTATAGTAAAGGTTATTTTATTATTTCATCTGATACAGTCACAATATAAGAAGAATCTGCATTTTATCATCACACAAAAGAGTTGCATGTCTGTTGGGCTCTAACAAGGACAGGATATATTGGGCTATATCTTCCAAATGTATTGGCAATTTATTTAATTGCTATTGAAACATTTGACTATGTAACAAATTCATTGTGGTTCTAGGAAGAAAGTTATCACATCCATCCAGTGGATCAGGGCAATAACAAGGATCACATATATTGCAGAACAACTCTTCAAATACAAGTATTTTAGTATATTAGTCAGAATATTGTTCATAGAAAAACTCAGATTAAATCAGTATTTACATAAAACTTTTATTCCTACAAAATAGCACATTTTGTGATCGAGTTGTTTTCTCATTTCAGCTGAAACTGGACCTTGGATCGGGGGAGAAAGTGTTACAGTCCGACCGAGGCACCCAGCTCAACGACCTGGCATGGCACTCTGTGGAGGTCCGCCATGTGCAGCACAACATCACTCTGACAGTAGACAAGAACTCTCACACCAGAGCAAAGATGCCGGGCTCCCAAAATAATCTCAACATCTTCCATGGTCTCTATGTTGGAGGCTCGGGAAGCCTGGACAGGCTTTATCTCCTCAGAGATCCGATAGGCTTCCGAGGCTGCATGGAGGACGTAGTCTTCAACGAACATGACCTGCTGTCATCACTGAGGCCATATACTGGATTCAAGACTGTCCATGAGGTGTCTTTAGGCTGCAGTCCCCAATTCTTTGCCACAGAGGAGGACCCTATCAGTTTCTTCAGCTCCAGAGCTTACATTTCTCTTCCAACCTGGAACGCCCAACAGGAAGCAGTGTTCGAGTGTGTTGTCCATACTTCAGCCTCAGAGGGAATTATGTTGTACAGTTCAGCCAGAGAGGGGTCTTTTGTTGCTGTGGAGATTCAGGAAGGTTTGCCAGTGGCCATTGTTGGGAAAGCTGGAGCTAAAGCGGAGCTTCGTTCCCTCACGTTCATCAATGACAAGAAATGGCATTCTATCAAGTTGCATCTCGGTTCCAAAAGCCTTGAGCTAACTGTTGATGGAGAGATGGTGAAAAGCAGCATCAGCTCTCGTACAAAGGGACCTCAGCTCAAAGGTTTTCTTTTTGTTGGAGGCATAGATGACAGCACCAGATCTGAAGTCAGAAAGGTGGGGCTCGTCTCTGTGTCTGGAAAGCGAGTAAGAGGAGGTTCCTTCAAAGGATGTTTGAAGAACATTGAAGTCAACGGAGTGAAGATGGGTCTCTCTGCTGCTGTAGTCACCAAGGATATCTCAGTTGGTTGTGAGCCTGAGAAGGAACCAGAACCATCAACCACAGTGAGTCCGACAAGCACCCCAGGATCCCTTTTTCACCTGGTGACACCAACACCGTCATTTCACATGTCCACTCTTGCAAGGGGCTTGGACAGAAGGTATGGCTCAAATTTTGTGCAGCTGAAAAACCTTGTGGTGCAAGAAGGCAGCAGGGCATCTCTTGAGGCAAAACACATCAAGGTTCTCTTGGACTTCAAGAAGCTAGGCATTCGACAATCCCAGATCATGTTCCGTATTCAGGAGCAACCTATTCGGGGTCAGATAAGGCTTGATGTTGATCAAGACCAAGAGGAGAACACCTTCAGCATGTTGGACCTTTGGCATGGACGAGTGATGTATATCCATGGAGGCTCAGAGGAACCAGATGACTTCTTCATGTTTTCTATTTATTCTAGCAGTAGAAAGCAAGTTCCTGATTATCTGAAGGGAAATAAATTGTACCGGTACAATATTACTGTGACACCCACCAACGATGCACCTGAATTGAGCCTCCCTGAAGGAAATCTCTTTGTCCTGTTGGAGAACTCTAAGAAACGCCTCACCACAGATGTTCTGAAGGCCACAGACATTGACAGCAGCAATGACAACCTTGTCTTCTCTGTACTTGGGAACCTGAACGCTGATGCTGGATATTTGGAAGTTGAAAACAACCCTGGCAAAGCAGTGACCTCATTCTCGTATTTAGATTTGGAGGAACTGAGGGTGTACTACGTTCACACGGGGGTTAGAAACTCGAGGATAGTTCTTCGAGTTGGCGATGGGGAAAAGGTGAGCAACACTGTGGTTCTTAGGGTCATGGCTGTAGCACTGGAGTACAAAATTGCCAACAACACAGGTCTTGTGATCGTTCAAGGAGAGACGGCTATAATTGGTTCAAAGCAGCTGGCTGTGCAAACCAATGCTGTGAAACAAATTGTTGACGTTCGTTATGATATCATTGAACCTCCTCAGTATGGAGAGCTCCAGAGGCTTCACTCCAGTGGTGAATGGAGGCCCACTGACACTTTCTCCCAAAGGCTCCTTGAAAAAGAGCGACTGAGGTACGTTAGTACTTTTCAAGACATCCAGACATCCAATGCCACTGATTACTTCAAGTGCAAAGTCAATGTGGCCGCCAAGGCAGCCACTGAAGTACTCTTCCCAATAACTGTGAAGTGGGTGAAGTATCACCTGACGAGGAATACTATGATTGACTTGGATAAAATTAGAAAAGTGACGCTGGACTCTGAGCATATGTTTGCCACAGCTGAAGGTGTGGCCCTCTCGGAGGATGACCTTTATTTCCGAGTTCTCACGACACCCAAGAAAGGGAAACTTCTGCTAGACACCACAGTCTTGATGAAGAACTCAACTTTCAGCCAAAGAAATGTGACGGATCTAAAAGTACATTATGAGCTATCTGACAGACCTTATGAAGACACACATGACAGGTTCAAATTTCATCTGGTTTCCAAGCATGCTCAGTCTCAAAACTATGATTTCCAGTTTTCCATTAAAGCTGATGTCAACAGTGTGTTTATGAGAAATGATGGACTCTCGCTTCTGGAGGGAGAAAGTAAACTCATCACAAAAGATGATCTGTTTGCAGAGACTTTGAGTACAAAAGATTTGTACTACACTGTGGTAAGCAGCCCTAGACATGGAAAACTAGCCCGTATTAGTCAGTCAAATTCCAACGCTAGCTACAACAACATCTTAACCTTTAGTAATCAGGATATATTAGAGGAACGGATCATGTATATTCACGATGACAGTGAAACGACTCAAGATGAGTTCAGTTTCATTGCCTCCATCAGCCAAGGCTTCAAATCCTCCATCGCAGAGGATGACTTTGGCTCCAAAGAAGGAACGTTCAACATCTCCATTAATCTAGTCAACGACCAAAAGCCACTACGTGTTATCGATAAAGTTTTTCATGTGGTAAGAGACGGACAAAGGTTACTCACTTCAGAGGATTTGTGTTATCATGACGCAGACTCTGATTATGATGACGGTCAGTTGATTTACACTCGTCGTGGAATCCCCTTGGGAGACTTAGTTCTGGTTAATGACACGACTCATCGACTGTTCCAGTTTCGACAGAAGGATTTGGATGAGAAGCGAGTGTTGTTCATTCACAAAGGTGTGAGCACGGGCAGGTTTGTGCTCTTTGTCTCCGACGGAAAACATTTTGTATCAAGCCTTTTAGACATCAGTGCACATGACCCCTTCCTGAAGGTCGGCAACAACACCGGCTTACTGGTTCAGAAGGGCCGAGCCGTAACGTTTTCCACCAGTAATTTTAGTGTCATATCAAATCTCGACATCAGAGATGACCATGAGGTCATTTTCAAGTTGGATGAGGCTCCCAAGTATGGACGACTTTATCTCAATGAAACAAACGTGAAGTCGTTCACACAGTCGGACTTAAAGGAGGGGCTGATTTCCTACCGGCACAAAGACAGCAAACATCTGGCCGACTACTTCAACCTAACAGTGACAGCTAAAGGTTTTCAACTTGCAGTGAAGATCAATGTGAAGGTTTATCTGGAAAGTCACCAGAGGCCACCCATAGTGCAGCATCACAACACTTTACTGGTAGAGGAGGGGAAACCAGTGAAGATCGACGAAACTAAACTGGAGGTGAGTTTCAGAGAGAATTCCCAACAATGCTCATGCAATTTCTTTATTTGGTTTAAATAATCTTTTTTGATATTACATTATCACTTCACCTTGACTGTTTTTCTTACACTAAATTCCAATCCAGTGATCAGTGGGCTATTATCCTCTCATTTAAAATGCACAGAATGATGTCAATAAGAATAATGATATTATACATAAGGTATATATACAATTATAATATTCATATACATATTATAATCATATATATTTTCACTATATTGAAATAACACATGCATTTGTTTATCAATTAGAAACACGTCAGGTTAAGGACTTCATATCCTGAGATAAATATTTATTATGGAAGTATCCTTTTATAAAACAAGGCAATAAATGTTGCCAGACAGTCTAATTTATAAAAGAACAATATTACAATGAAATGTTTTTTTTATTGTCCTGGTTTTAAAGGCTGCTGAAAAGGTCAAATCTGAACGTTCACCCATGTTTGTGTGTTTTCACTGTACAATGATGCCATGTTACATTTAGAGTCAAATGAAATCTAAACTCTGGTGACACATGGAACATTTCAGATGTAACCAGTCACTGTGTTTTCTGATTGTTGCAGGTCACTCACGAGGACAACATGCCATCCGAGATTGTATTCACAGTCAAGGTAGCCCCCTCTCACGGCTTTCTCAGGCGTTTTGTTGAAGCGGAGAATCGCTACATCGGAACCAAACATTCCCCTGTCAAGACATTTAACCAGGAGGACATTAACAGTGGGAACATCCAGTACACGCAGGTAGAGCCCAACGAAGTCAATGACACCTTCCTGCTTGATGCCACCAATGGGGTCACTGACGTCAGCGACATTAGGATGTCTGTTGACATCATCCCACGCCTCATCCCGCTTCGCGTCTCAAATTTCACGCTGAACGAGGGCGCCTCCAAGGCACTGACCCAGGATGTGCTCAAAGTCACCAACCAACACTTTTCTGGGATTAACTTCCTGTACAGTTTGTCCGAGCCCCCGCAGCACGGTCACGTTGAGCACTCTCGACATCCGGGTGTGTCCATTACCTCTTTCACCAGGAGGCAGGTGAGACAATCTCTTACAGTCGATGCATAAATAATCAGATTGAGTTTGGCTGCAATGTTTTTAATGCCAATAACTAACTTTAAATCTGCAGAGGTCATAGTTTTTTTAATGATTTAAACGAGTGTGTTTTCTAAACGTACAGAGATTTTTATAATGCTTGTAACCTACAAAACATTCTTGGATGGATGAATAGTTTGAGGGATTAATTTAAACCCTGTAACTACCACTAAAACCACAGAGCTCCTAATCTCTGTATTTTTTGTGATGTAATATTTGGTGGATTTTTTAAATCCTAATCTACAAGAATGTTTGTGACGTTTGAAGCATAAAAATCTTATTTAACTTAAAATGTATGTGTGACTCCCCTCAGCCTCTCGACCCAAACCAGCTGTGATCTCATGAAAACGTAAAAAGTGTGAATGTCCTAATGTGCACGTCAAGTCACGTCACGTCATGTCATCGTGTCCATGACATGGATGAGTTTGAGTAAAGTGACCTGACCTCTGTGTCACAAAACATCAGTATCTTGGCGCTGATGTGAATTTTGAATAAATCTTTGCAGCTTTAGTTTCCTGCCTCATGATAATTTCCATGATCTCTAACCAGGTGGAACATGAATTCATTTACTACGTGCATGACAGCAGCGAAAGCTTAGCCGACAACTTCACTGTGGTGGCCAATGACTCAGGGCTGAGGAAGCAGAGTGCGGCCCAGACGGTGTACATCCAGGTTACAGCTGTCAACGATGAGCCTCCTGTTATTACTGCCAACAGGGTCCTCAGGGTGAGTCTACACTGCTCTATATTTAAACTTTTTTTTTTTACTAGCAGCTCTGGCACCATGGCTTACTGTCAGATGATTTTCATGTGGGCAGTGTTGCCATGGTTGGCTGTATGGGGGGAAACTATGTGTGCTATGTGGAGGAGGGTCCAGGGGGGCTGGCAGCGCAGGCCGTGCTCTGACATAGATTTTCGGAGGTGTCATGTGTTAAGGTGTCAGATTTCAAACTAATTCTTGTTGTGTTCAAGTGCATGGTGGAGTCAGTAGGGAGAGAAAAGTTATTTTGCATTTTAGTCTTGACCGGAAATCTTTTTTCAAGGTCTCTTATGAACAGAAAGTTTAAATTAAAAGTAAAATAACCTCCAGGCTTTACACAGACATGAGGTTTTGTTGCCAGGAACGTTGCTTGAATTTAATCCTCTCCGAAACGTCATAGTGTCGAGTGGCAAGATGTCATGACCTGGAAATAACAAGCACTGTGACTTTATAGCCTCAATTCCAGCTTATTTGCACGGCTTCACAAACTCTCCTCGCTATTCTCTCGTCTAAAAAATGGATTCACTTCCTGTCTGTGAAAAGCACTTTTACATACATTTTAGATATGTTACGTGTAAATTAGACAGAAGCTGGTTTGTTTCTGTGCACTCAGCCGCGTCGACTCTATCGGCTTCAGTGGCTGGAGATGAGAGAGGTCGAGCTGGACAGAGGGGCTGAAGTGTCGGACTCTTATTGTTTGTAGCTTTGTCCCAAATGCCTCAAATTCCTCTGGAATCCTGCAGATTCAGAGAAGAACGACCTGGGACTGAAGAGCGTCAGGACGCCAGTTGAATTAAAGTTAATTAAATCAGAAACAGAGAGTTTATTTCTTAAATAATCTTTTTATTTCAAGTGTGCTCATTAGTAGTCATGTCATGTTTCAGTGGACATTAGGTGGAAGGTCATGATTTAAAACTCTCTGTCCACAAGGTGGCTCTGTGCCCCTGCACATCATGTCAGGGCTCAGACTGTGGAAGACTCCCAGCTTTTCTTGCATTGACTGTTTCCTCATAAAATGTCTCAGAAAGTTGGTTTTGAAGCAGCTTTGATCAGCTGAATCAATATTTTTAAAACAAATCTTCATATTTTATTTATCAATGTGCCACGGGGATTATTGTTAAGTCGACCCTCCAGTGAATCACAGAGCAGGAGGGTGTTTGTGTTAAAAATACAAATGATTCATTTATGTCAAAATAAAAAAATACAGACAAAGAAACATCATCAATTATTTGTTTAGTTTGTTAAGTTTAAGAGAAAAAACAAGTTTATGCCAAGAATCAACTTGAGATATTCATCTAAAATTCAGTAGAGTCTTAAACAGAGTATTATCCATTGCAGATATCTGTTGTGGCCACTCTACATTTGACTTCTTTCTGTCCAATTCTTCAGGTTTTCTTTTGTCCGGTTAATAAAATAAAAACACCTCAGTAAATAAAGATTTTACAAAAACAGAGGATTTAAATTAAAGTAGATCAGAGATGTAAGTGCAGTTCTGTGACTGTTGTTTAAACTCTGTCGTGTGTGTGGAGTTGTTTGTGCAAATTGATCTCATGTGTCTTTTTGGGGGGAGGTCACCATGATGCTGTTGGTCAGACTGATCCTGCTGTGACTTCCTGTCAGATCAGAGGATTATGGGAAGTGTTGTCGTTTCCCGACAGTGGAACATGGACTCACACGTGTGACGCTTTGTTCTCAAGGGGAGAGACACTGTGGGACCAATGTGATGTGGTTTACAGGTGTTAATTGAAAGATGACCCCACGTGTCTGTTCCAGTAAATAACACTTAGAACCAAATGAAAGACCAGCTCACTGCCAGTTAGTGATTTACACTCTCATTTACACTCCATTATTGTGTAGTTTAAAATGGTGAAACTACAGATCTCAGATATTGTTAGATTAGATTAGATTAGATATACTTTATTCATCCCACAACGGGGAAATTAACTTATTACAGCAGCAGAAAGAAAGTGTAGTATACACTACAGAATTAAAGTAGAAAGGGCAAAAACATAAAAAACAGACAGAAATATCTATGACCTACAAAATAAAAAATAAAACAATCAACCTGCAAACAGACAATGTGCAAAAACAAGTACTGAGGATAAAAAAGTGGCATGATATAAAAAGTATTGTAATGTAAAGTGACCATTATATGAGTAATATTTCAAAAGTAAGTGACCATGACATAAATAATATTGCAAGGCATAAATGAAATAAAATGAAATAAAAATATTGCAATGTAAAGTGACCATGATATAAATACTATGGTATATAAATACCATGGTAAGGTATAGTTTGTTTGGCTTTACATTCTTGCAGATTATGTCTTTGTTGTTGTAACCACTTCCCGTCACCCTTCAGTTTAAGTGCACCTCTGCATTTGTGGTGTGAAACATTTCTCACATTAACAGCAGTCAGAAGTTGCCAGTAATAGAACGTGCTATTGAACCAGTGTGTGAACACAAGGTGACACATTAAAAAACGGTTCTCGCAGGAAATTGACTCTTGTTCGAATAAAAAACGACTGTATGTGTTATTTGTTGGGTTTATAAAAAAAATTGCTCCAGGCCGTGAGCTTTAATCAAAGTGGATTTTAATACCAAACCTACAAATCTTTTCTTGGGATGTTCAAATTCAATTAGTGCCATCTTATTTGGACAGCGCCGATTTACAACATACATTATCTCAAGCTTTGACAGTAAATAAAGATGGACGACACGTCTCTACGTCCTCCAGAGTCTGCTCTATCAATCGTGAGTCAGTCAATCATGACGTTTCTTCCCTGTTTTTCTAACTTACTTAATAAATTTGCAAATATCAGTAAGACCTAAAATGACAGAGAAAAAATTGCCTTTAAGTAGTACTGCCTGAGTCTTTTATTCCATCATCGGGTTGGTTCTCAAGAAAATAAAAACTTTTGTGTCTTTGTGGTTTGTAGTCTCTCCTGTTCCTTCGTTTGGGCTCATTTACATTAACCCGGAGCTGCGTCTCACCCACACTCTGCACTGTGTTTACGGTCTCTGTGGCTATTTTTAGCCCAGATATGCCCTTCGTTAGTTCATTATGTCGCTGATGCTCAGAGCGACACAGGTCGTTATTGTCCAACCATCTTCTGGCACCGCTGAGATTTTTATTCACAGCAGTCATGCTTCAGTGGATGAGGAGCAGGGGAAAATGACCCATAGAGAAGAATAAGAGAGAAATATGTGATGGAGATTAATGACAAAGCCTCATCAGCTCTTTCTGTTGGTCTTTTATTGGTCCTGCTTCATTTTACACTGTTTTATATCGTTGGTTTTATGTATCTGTTCTGTCTGCCCTTCAAAACTCTTAAAATGACCTGAGACTTAGTCCTGTTGTATCATCTGGATACCTTGAATTATTATTATGGGATATAAGGTTGGTTTAGCTATAATTTAGCACCATAGACTGTATTTTATAAATGGACAATGCCAAAATATATACGAAGACTGCCGTCTTGCACCAAAGACAGAGTTTGTGTGGTAGCCGTTGGGGCAATGGAGCCGCAGCATCGACCAATCATGAGTCAGTCTCAGCTGTCAATCATGAGGTTTCATCCGATTTTATAACAATTAAAACTGAACTAGCACAGGCGTGGTAAGAACCACCTAAAATGACAGGAACCATCTGTGAGAGAAAAATATTTAATGTGTACTTTGACTTGGAACTGACTGGGGACAAATAAAGTTTTTGAATTGAATCTGATTGACCTTGTGTCCAGGTCTGGGTGTCGTCGGTGACCGAGATCAGGCCAGAGGATCTGATGGCGCAGGACCAGGACACGCCACCGGAAGAGCTACACTTCATGGTGACGCCACCCAGCAACGGGCACCTGGCCCTGAAGAGCGCCCCCATGAAGGTGGTGCTCAACTTCACACAGGCTCACATAGACCAGGGACAGCTGCTGTTTGTGCAAAAAGGTAAAATTAAAACACTGCAAAACAATGGCTGTGTGTAGAGAGAGGCGGTGGTTCGATTCCCATCGCTTCCATGACTGTAAGTTGCATCATGTCCTTGAGACACTTGTTAATATGAAAAGATTGACCTTGTGATTTTAAAAATTAATTTCAGATGATCCAAATAGATTTTTGAGTTAAGACAGACAGGACTGAAGTGATAATACTTGAACCTCTGATGTAAAATGGTGGATAAGATCTGTCAGCTGCCTCAGATCAGGTTTCCACTGACTCCTCTGATTCATATCTACTGTTTTCTTTGCCTGCACTCGTACCATCAGGAACAGAATTGTGTGAAAGGTGCACGCTTCACCCTATATGTTGAAGAATGTCTCTTTCTGTTTCTAACACACATCTACACAGATATAGACAATGGCTTTGATTGAGTGGTCACTCACTGATGAAGAATTTCAAGCTTACGTTGCAGTTTTTCTTGAGACCAGCATCAGGACTGCTGATCACTCTCTTATTTTTCTGTGTATTCTGCAGAAACAAGACGCTGCCGAGAACAAAGTGAAAACATAACCAAAACTGAGATTCAGCAAAAGAATCCAACTTTCCCCCAGAAACGTCTTGACTGTTTTTTAACTTCATGTTTTTTGTGTCATGTCATTTCCAGGTGCCATGTCTGGAGGATTCAACTTCCAAGTAAATGATGGTGTGAATTTCAGCCCCAGGCAGATCTTCAGCATCACAGCCAGAGCCTTAGTTCTCAGTTTAGAGAAAAACCGTCCACTGAAGGTGTTTCCAGGTAAATCCTTCCTCGTGATAAGAGTCATGTTATGAAAACCAAACCAACAACATGCTGGTCCACCTCTCAATGTATTGAGTCTTTTCTACTCACGTGACGCTCAGCTCCAAGACACACAACTTTACAAATGGGTCAGAAATAAATCCATCCATCCGAGAGGCGGGCTACAGGAGAGGTCACTAATCTGTCACAGGGCCGACACACAGAAATATACAACCATTCACATATAAAGGCAATTTAGAGTCACCAATTAACCCAGACTGCAGGTCTTTGGACTGTGGGAGGAATCTGTCCTATCAGGAACATTTGGTTCTCTTAGTGTTTTATTTATGTCAGCAAGACGATGGGTCGAATCTTAATTTTTCAGTATTCTTTTGTGTTGTGGGGTTTTGGTGGTGGTGGGGGGATTTCTACCAGTGACTATGACAGATGGATCTGTTGTGACTGTGTGTGTGTCTGTGTCTGTGGATTTATGTTCTTCCTGACAACATTCTCTGCCCAAAATTCCTTTGGTCAAATAAATCAGCACTTTTCCAATATCCAACTTCTGACATTATCCAAATACCAGACTGCTGATGTGTTGATAGAAAACTACCTTGAATACTCAGCAGCTAAAAATAGGCCAAACATCGTCTGTATCTTCAAACACCTCGGAGATTTGTACAGAGATTTCCAGTGGTCTGGTTTGTGAGTTAGGAGGAGAGGATATTGTGAGGGCAGCAAATTGCCAACTGGCATGCTCCACTGAGCTTCCCAGCCACAGGGTGAGCGTGCACTTGAAAAGCTGTGCCCCTGTCTGTCTGAGGCAGCCCTGTTTGTGCTTTGTGCCGGGCGGAGCAGCGAGCGGGGGGGGCGGCGTGGGAGCTTTAACTGACAATGAAGGGTTTTGATGAGGCGCGGGGTGACATCAAACACTTTCACACTGCGGAGAGGAGGCCAATGTTTTACCTCTTCCTGGTAAAATCCTCAAATGTCTGCTGCTTTCTGTAAAACTCTGCAAAGACTCCTCACTAAACAGTCACATGTGCCACATTAAGAAAACCAGCGTTTGGCTTCTTTCAAGTTCTTCATGAACGTGCTAAGCTAATTATTTAACACAATGTTTGGTAACTGTTAAATGGCCACAATGGGAGTAAAAGGAAAATGTCCACTCATGTGGAAAAGCTAAACTGTTTCTACTTGTTCCAAACGGCCACACTTACAGTGAAACCTCAGCCATCATGGAAAATGAGAGAGAGAAGAAACCCAGTCACCTTTCTCATCAATAGAATCATCTGATGGAGCATAGTGGGGTTGAAGTTTTCCATCACTAGACAGATTCCTGTCAACTGGGGTCCAGAGAGGAGATCAATGTACATCAGAGGGGAGAGGAGAAAGTGCAGCGGGGCGTGATGAGCATGATGACTGCATGAAACCACGGGATGTAGAACATATTAAAGGACATCTGAAAGGAAAACAGATGGATCACTGATTTAAAGAAGGGAGGGTTGTAGTGGGAGTGACTCTGTAGCAAAGGCAAATGAAGTACAACTCTCACAGGTCAGGTAGGAGGGGTCATAGCAGAATAACACCTCAGGCACGAGAGATGTCAGGACCTGAATATCTGGATGTTTTTAGATGGGGAGGTGGACTGTAAAATGGAACCCATAAAGTTTTTAGCAGCTTTGTGTTTTTACCTGCCCTCTCTGTGTAACTGTGATTTTGGGCTTTCATTACTGATTCACTGGCCAATCACAGCAAAGGTAGTTAATGCAGGTAAAAATTATAGTCATGAAAAAGTAGTGCGCAGCCGTGAGTGATATTCTGCCAACAACAAAAACTGCACAAATCTCTGACAACATAGAAAAACCCCTGCAGATTTAGTCCTTGATGGGTTTTCATTGTAAAAAAGACAGGAAAGCTCGTCTCTCCCACTTCCTCTTTGAGGGAAATTTCCCATGAGAGACGGACAAGTGCTTGTGAATAGTGATTGTTTCCATCTATCTCTCCCTTCCATTCGTTTTCTCACGATCTTCACAAAGCAGTGAGTTAGTGGAAATCTATGTAATTTATCTTACAAAGAGAAGTAGCTCTCAGTGGTGAGGTCCTGTCATCATGCACCCAAGATGTTTCTCCCTGTTTTTCCCAAGTGGAAGTTTTCTGAGCCTGCGAGGAGCTGATCCACTTTTTAATATTTTGTGTGGGATTTATGTAACAGCCTCAGACTGCAGTTGGACAGTGTGTTACATCCGCAGTGCATCTTAATGTGACACATCAAAAGACCCTCATCTTTCTATTCCAGACGATACTTTGCATATTTTGCAAAAAGATGAGAAATGTCTGCAGAGGGGGAAAAAAACGTCTTACGTTTGATGCTGTGTGTGAGTGTGGTCATAGATAAACTGAACGCCAGAGAAGAAAAACTGTTTTCGCCTCAGATACAGTTTCGTTGATAATCTAAGGCGCCTCATCAGTAATTTTCTTAATCAAATTGAATGTGTCTCCCCCCCAGGCTCCTCAGCACTAATCACAAATGAGGATTTACAAGCAGTGACCAATGACATCAGCAACACCTCCACTCGCATCATTACATTCAGTGTGGTTCGGCATCCGAAACTGGGGCGACTGGTGAGGAGGCAGCCGGATAATTCAACAGTCGACATCTCCACTTTCACACAAGATATGGTGAGTGACAGTGCTACAGTGCATCCCATTTACTGAGGCTTGAATCCTGAGTCCGCAGGTTCGATTCCAACCCAGCCCTCTCTCCCCTTTCACACTTATATTCTGTCAATAAAGACCATAGTCCCCAAAAAATATCTTAAAGGTATTGTAAGTGACGAGCGAGAGGTATCAAGACTCTTTCAAAGTATCAGGGATGTGAAGTTTAAACATCAGGCTTCCTCCGTTCCTGTGGAAAGTTGCCAGATTTCCACAGTATGAATAATAAATTGAATAATAAATATTCTTCCTCCTCATCGAGTCAAGTCGACGTCGTGCTTCTAGAGCTGAGTGGTACATGTGAGGCTTTTATGTAAGCAGTTATTCCTGATGGTCATCTGACGTTGTTGAATGTGTGATGCTCCGTGTGCTGTATTTACTGCTCAGCACAGCATGTGTTTCAGACTGGTGAAGAGTCACTGACGCCAATGAGCAACTCACACACTTGATTAAATGCAAGTTCAATTTAGGAATGGCTGAACTGCTGATCGGGTCGCACAAGTTTGTCGATGTGAATTCATTTTAGATAATGGATTGACGACAGTTTCTGTGCCTCAGGTTGACAGGAAAGAGGTTGTGTACATTCAAAGCCCCATCGAGTCGGTGGGCTGGGAAGCTCTGGACACCATGACCTTCTCTGTGGCATCACCGCCTGCTTCTCTCAACAGCCACACCTTCAAAATAGACATTTCCTATGAGAATACTGGACCTGAACACAACACAGTCCTACTTGCAAACACAGGTATGAATACGTTTGCAGCTCTTTATAGTTTGTACTTGTACGTGCTGGTACAAGCATGAATAAATGTAAGTGTTAATGTATAAGTGTAATTATATCAAATTTACCATACATCTTTTTGGGGATAGGTGCTGAGGTCACAGAAGGAGACAGTGTCATCATTGACGAGTCTTATCTTGATGCTACTAACCTGATGTCCAAGTTGTCGACGCCTCAGCGGAGCTCCTACGAGGTTTGGTTCCAGGTAACATCTCTGCCCCGACACGGTTTCATCGTGGTGGGCGAGAGAAACCTCACCAAGGAGAAACCCAACTTCTCCCAGTTCATTATTAACAAATATGGTATCACCTACAAGCACGACAACTCAGAGACGACTCGTGATTCTTTCGTCTTCAGTGCATGGCTAAATCTGAAGGGCAAAACGGCGCAACGCCCTCAAGATGACGACGAGGTTGTTGAGGAGAGTTTTAACATCACTATCACACCTGTGAATGATCAACCCCCTCTGCTAAAAACCAAAGCTCCAAGTCTGGTGGTGGTACAAGGAGATACTGTAGCCCTCGGGCCTGAGAATCTCAAGGTTGAAGACTTGGACAATCCTCCCGATGATATTAAGTTTTCTGTGATTAGCAAGCCAAACAACGGTTACCTAGCTCTTGAAGGAAGTTTGAATGAGTCGATTATGGCCTTCTCCCAAACTCAAATCAATAACAGAAGCATCTATTTCGTCCATGATGGAAGCTCCGTCTCGGGGGTGTTCTACTTCAGTGTCACAGATGGGCATCATAAACCAATATATAAACTCTTTAACCTAGAAGTAAGAGAAATCTCCATTTCTTTGGTCAACTACACTGAACTGACACTGGAGCAAGGCAAGACCTCAGTGTCACTGACCCAGGAAAACCTTGCTGCTGTTACCAACGGGAAAAATGTCACCATTCACTATCAGATTACCAGGCCCCCGAGCTTTGGCAAACTTCTGAGGGAAGATCAAGAGGTTACACAGTTTGAACAGGATGATCTTGTGGCTAGAAGGTTGTCCTACCATATGATCTCCGTCTCCTCCGCAGAAGACAGCTTCGAATTCACCGCCTTTACTTCTGAGGCAAATCTGACTGGAGTGTTTAACATAACCGTCAGGCCTTTGGTCCGGGTTGGCAAAGGTTTGAGGATTCCCACTGGAATCGTGGTCAAACTTGGTGCTAATTTCCTTGATGCCTCAGAACTGGCTAATATCAGCAATAGTGACCCTGTCTTCGAAATGATATCCCATCCTAGGAATGGGAAAGTGGTTCGGACAAAACCTAAAATGTCTGGGAAAGCTGAACAAGCTGAGTCCTTCACCTTCCAGGAGGTGATGCAGGAGAAGATAGCCTTAGAGCTGAATGCCAACATGACTGGAGTTCAAGAGCTGAATGACTCACTGGTGTTTTTACTGAAAGCTGATAACATCCAACCTGCTAAAGGGGAGTTCCACTTTGCAGTTGTGCCATATGATCCAGCACTTTTTCCCACCACAAAAACTCCTCTCCCAACCACATCATCTGTTCCTCAGACACCAATGCAGACTTCAGGAAATGGAACTGCTTCACCCGTCCTGTCTACAGCTTTCCTCTCCACCCAGCAACCAAGCAAAAACCAGCAAAAGTTCAAGGGACGTAACCGCTGGGGGAACTCCAACAGAACTAGTATTTACAGTACGACTCTTGGCAAACCCACACGAGGATCGGAGGATTTCCCCTTCAGGAACACTCCAGTTCGTGTAGAATCCTACCCACAAAAAACCTCCAATCCACTCCTGGTGATCTTACCACTGCTGGCCCTGCTGCTGCTCGTCATCATCTTCGTGGTCCTTGTTGTCTTCCTGCGACATCACAGGCAAAGGAAGCAGAACAGTGCTGCACCAAAAGAGTCTGCAGGTCTTCCAAGCAGTGAGTCCTACCAAGGCCAAACCCAGAGGAGCACAACAGTTCCGACAGTGACTGTCACTCAGTTAAACCCCAACTGCCCAGACAGCCCAGTTCTCGATCGATTATTGCAATCAAATCACGGCTCGGGATATAACACCCTGGATTCAAACATGTTCGTAAGTTCTTGGAGTAATGGTTCCCCTGCAGCATCTTCCCAAATTATCAGAGCCGCCACTCCGACTCTTCAGAAGAATCAGTACTGGGTATGATCCTCCGCAAACCAGCATGTCGCTGCATGTTTTGGAGGATACTGTTTTCACAACAGATTGAAATGTGGGTTGGAGCTTACTGATATGAATCACTACCCTTTTCAGGTTCTTAGCTTAAAGCTGCATCGATCAATATTTTTGTTTTAATCCTGAATCAAAGGTCCAGTGTGTTTTCAGTCACGGTCACCAGGTAAGAAACAAAGCTCTAATGAGATAATTGTGTTGTTCTGTCTCTGCTGCATGTTTTTAGATAATTGATTTATGCAGCTTTAAGGATGGATGATGGGGGAAAACCACTATGGCCAAAGTCCTTTGCAATATGTTAGTCAGAGACGGGACAGTGTTGAGTTGTCTCTGAGTTGCATGATCCTGTGAAGCAATAGTACAAACCACTGCTGTATGTTCAGCTGGTGGGACAAACATTGGTCTCTTGAGCATTTACAAATCAGTCATCACTGTGGTAATCTATAACCTGTTTGTTTGGTGCCTGATTGAATCACTCATGTTGTTGTCTGGTCCTCATACATGTTGACGTCTCTCCCATCGTGGATCGTAGTCATCAGAGCTGGAGCCTAACAACTTGAAACTGTGAATTTCTAGACTGACACTGGTACAAAGATGAATTGTCTGAGCATTTCAACTGATTGTGCAGATTTTATATTGTTGTTATGTATTATATATTATAGTATAGCAATTTTTTTGTAAACTCAGGTATTTTTGTTAACATTTACTTCATGTTACTCTTATTGGGGGTCGCATGTATTGTCATTAACAGATCTTGGTTTAACCAGATTGAAAATTATAAAATTGACAGTACCACTATTAAAACTTTTATTTTTTAATAGGTCAAATCACAGTGGTTGAAACGGTTTTTTATTTTACTATGCAGTATTTTTATATTCCCAATAAGCTTAAATGAAAAAGCAACGCACTAATACTTCTCCATATCCCTCTCAGCTCAGTGATTAATATTCAAACAGTACGTTCGTTCTCTAAAATATTAACAGATGAACAAATAGTGATTCACCAGATTTTAGAACGGTTGAGCTGCTAACTCTAAAACAAGGTCATTACACTGGGACTGGAGATTACTTTCTGAGGAGAGGTACTAAATATTTATCAACAGAACAATTTATTCTCTCTCGCTCAATCGAGCAAGATTTTTTTAAAACAAGAACTCCATCTCTAAAATACTTTTTCCTTTTACAAATAACAAAAACAGAGAATTTCTTTGATTTAAAACAAGTGGTGGTATTTATAATAACTATTTAACGCCGACAATCCTGTTTAACTTGTGTCGTTAGATCTACTGTAAGCATTGGTTGTTTGACACTGGTGATTTATCTGCTGTAAATGAAAAGTTACTGTTCCAACATGGGAGATGAGGTGTCGCTGTAACAGAAAACCACTGTAAACGTATGTTATTGAATTATTTTGTACTGAAGAGAATTGTCTATCCAGTGTATCCTAGTCTCATATGAATGATGTAACCCTCCATGTAACTGTCATATTTATTTATACCATGTTTTTAATAAACCACTTTAAAATGTAAGAGAACCATACAGAAAAGGCTCTGTATAACTTATGCTTTCTTTTTGTCTGCAAATTTCTCCACAAACCAGGTTCATTAGCATCCAAATGTTCCCTTATTTCTTCCATGTAAATTCGTTTTTTGGCAGTTTTCTCTGTCTCGGCACTTGCAGCCGGTTGCCCTCGTCTTAATAGAACCCATCACGATAAAACATACGTTTCACCAGACGGCCACTTACAATATTTTACTCATCATCATCTCTTCTCTCTGTTTCCTACATTTACTTTAATTTTGGTTATCTCGCATTCGAAAACAATAAAATCTGCACGACTGTCGCATCATCTGTATTTTCCATCTCAGTGGAAAACGTTTCGTTTCCGAAGCAAATGTCCTAATAAAACTCCCAGTCAGCGCCCAGAAGGTAAACATGTAATGTGATTTACTAAAGCACAATGAGGACTTTTTCTGCAGCTGAAGCTTCACCGCTCTGAGTCAGCACACGTGAGTGATGGCATCATGCAAAGTAAGCAGCTGTTTTCCTGATATCAAACACAGCTGACACAAGATGTCAGTCACACAGACACAGGTGGTGATTAAAGAATATGTCAGTTCCTGTGAACTGAGTGAACTTGTTGACGGTGGTGAACGATGGCATCACATGTGAGCTGCGAGCTCAGCACAATGATGTCATGCAGCAGAGCCCACCGACAGGAACTTATCGGGATCCAGTTGTGAACCACAGTATTATCATTTGTTGTCAGGAAATTCAAACACGGGACGAACATTATTACATCATTGAAAAATGTACTTCTTAACAGGAGCATTCACGTAGTCCACTGACACAATGTCCAAACCTAACACTGCTCCCATGTCCACCAGACACCTCCAGGAAAAAAATAGTCCCACTTCGCTGTTACAGAATCTCACACACACTTTGATTCTGCTTGTTCGTTCCAACAGCCCCAACAACAACTGCTCACATGTGTGAGAGCACATTGAACATAATAAAAGAGACTGAAGGAAGGTGATTTTTCAAAGGTAACAGACAGGAAGAGGAAGAAGAGGAGAACCCTGTGTGACCCATGTATACACACTGACGACTTACACACTCACACCAGTACACAAGCAAACAATCATGCAGACGGTCTTGTCATCGTCCGGTTCTGTACTTCCCCAGTTTGAATCTAAACTTAGATTTTTGACAAGAGCAGAGATGAAATCATGCAAACATGTCTTTATATACACACACACACACACTTGGTGAGACCACCCACAATTCTTATAGATGCTGAAATAGCCTGTTTGTGTTTAGGAATGTTGATGATCTGATAAAACTAAACTAAGATAATTCAGACACGACAACGAACCAGCTGGTTCTATTTATTGCCTGAAATCCTTTGCAGAGATGCACGGTTTGTTTTTGATGTCATGTCAGATTTTCCAGATTTTGTCTGGTGGAACTTGGCAAGCTAAGATTAAAAAAAACAAAAAAAGGGACATTAGGTACAAATTCAACGTTTATACTGTAATTTGGTGACATCTGTTTTTTAATGCTGGTATTGAGATGATCCCATATGGTTTCATGTTATATTTTGGTCCTATTGATTAAAGGTCCAGTGTGTAAGATTCAGGTGAAAGGGAACTATCGGCAGAAATTTAATGTAGAATAATCCTCATGATGTTTTCACTAGTTCATTTAATCTAAATTGTATGAATTGTAGTTTTTTTGACCCCAGAAAAGGCCCTTTATATTTAAATACTTTATATTTACATTGAGGGGACCCTCTCTACGGAGGCCGCCATGTTTTTTACAATAGTCCAGACTGGACAAACTAAACACCTTTTGAGTTTTACCTTTAAATATGAATAATAGCAATGATCTGCAGTTATTGAAATAGCATTTCGACATGATAGTTCAACAGATTTCTACACTAATGAAAACACCACTAAGATTATTTCATATTCAATTTGCCAATAGCCCTAACTCTCACTCACTGGACCTTCAAGGTGTAAATTATGCTAATTTAAACTGGCCCAGAGTTGTCAATCAACCCACAGAAGCATGAGCAGAAGTCAAGTTATAGTCTTGGAAAGAGGAAACTGTAGAGAAAGTGCTGAAGTCACAGTCAGAAGTTACAAAATGTGGACGTCTGGCAGGATATGGTCACATGGTGGATACTTGTCATCAGCCGTCAGGGGTTTTATCTACCTCTGACCTGACTCTCTGCAATGTTACACACTCCAACCTTTAAATCACATTTGAGATTTAAAAGTGAGCTAATGTTGGTCTTCACGCAGCTAACGTATTTCACCTCTGTGTGTGAGACAAAACCGAGGGAGACAGCGAGAGATAATTAGTCCAACTGAGTTCTTGCTCTCAGATATTAGATCTCAGAGTGATCATTGTAATTTGAAGGTTGTGTAATTGTGGTGCAGAGGGTTAAAGAACAATCGCACCCTGCAAGACTAAGAGAGACAAAGCAGTCCTGGCTCATTTGGTTTGATAATGTTCGGCACAGACAAACCCAGATGGTTAATTGAACCAGTTGTATTTTAAAGACTATGCTTCAGTTCCATTAACTCTCCCTTTTCTCGCCTTCACAGTTGCAATAACAGCAATATCCATGCGCTGCTAGAAAACTATTAACACATCATCCACAAAGTGTCGTTCAGTTGATTCATAAAAGCTAATCAAGGCGTGTCAAATACTGCAAAGGGTATCAGAATCTAACATGTTGGTGTTGAAAGCTGCGGTGGTGGTTGCCCTTTAGGAGAAAGCACATTGTGCAAATGACGTAAAACAAAGAGCTGCTCTGCAAATCCAGCTTGTTTTTCTGTCTTTCCGAGTTCTTTACCCGAGTGGCATCAGGCTCCGGTTTATCTGATGCTAAACTGGGTCTTATGCAGTTTCTCATCTGCTGGGGGAGGGATTAGCAGCTTGATTCACTGACAGGCCTTTTTCTGGATTTTGGCAGCGAGCAGAGCTTCCTCTCTGCTCTACTCGTGACTGATGTGACCTGAAGTGGGACCAAAACAGACACAGATCATAACATTAACCCTAACCCTAATTTTCCATGTAATGCGATGGCAATTTATAATCTTAATTGTAGATCTGTACTTTGTTGGACTTTTTTGCTATTTTGAATACGAACCTTGATTTTCACTTTTATTTTAATAAACATTTAACCTAATACTGGAGGAGATCTTGGCAAAGCTGTTATGTTAATATTCTGCTTGTAAAACTTCACTCTTTTTCTCTGAAAACAACAGTTGGGTCATTTGATTTGTTAAGTATCTTGATTTGGAGAACTTTAACTGTATTTTAAATAAAGAGTACATTAGGTTGTAATGTTTTTGGTGTTCCTGTATAATTTCAGATAGACAACCTCTCAATTATACATATCTGACACACACATTCACACACAGCCCCAACATATAGACACACATTCAGCCATGTGTCCCGGTGACACTGTGGATCTGTTGATATTCATGCACCAGATGTTCAGCCTGATGTTGTGCTCTCCATGAAACCCTGAACGGAGTCACACGTTGACGTAACTCTCAAAGTCGGCATTACATCATTATTATACAGGATAGAGTGGGAGGGAGATATGATGACACAGCTCTGTTGACATTTGAAAAGGATGTGTGCACTTTGCTGATCCACAGTTTACACTCACATTCCATTTACACACTAATGTAGAGGTGCATGCGTGTGTGTGTTTGTGTGTGTGTGTGTGTGTGTGTGTGTGTGTGTGTGTGTGTGTGTGTGTGTGTGTTTGAATGAGGTCAAACCACCAGCAGTCCATGTCAGCTGGTTGTTTGATGACTGTGGTAGACTGTGGTTTATGGATGGCAGTGGACAAAGAGGTCAGGGAGCTGTTGTGTGTGTGTGTGTGTGTGTGTGTGTGTGTGTGTGTGTGTGTGTGTGTGTGTNTGTGTGTGTATGTGTGTGCGTGTGCATGTGTGTGTGACTAAGATGAGAGGAAATGATGAGGATCTATTAAAATGATTTTCCTTCATTATTGGTTTGGTTGAAAATCTGCGAACTCCATGTGAATACAGAAAACCCATCCCTGCTCTCATGGTGTCATGACAAAAACACAGCTCTGTACCTTTGAGCTCCAAAGAAACAAAACCATAATTTGAAGTTGGCGGAGGTTCAGGTTCATCGTTGCTATGTTGGTCCTGGAGGGAGAAACATGGAAATGAATGTTTTGTTCATCTGTTTGTTTTAGTTTTTCATGATCTTATGAAAGTCTCTGTGGTGATTCAACTTGTCGCTGTGACTTTAATTTTGCCTAAAATTCTAATTTCCCATGAGCAAATCCTGCAGGAATTCTCATATTACAAACTTGAATGGCACTCAGAGAGCACATACCTCTGCCAAGGCCCAACAGTCCCCTTATGAATCAACATTTAAATCTGCTCCATCCAAATTTATTTGTATCTGCACCAAATTACACACACTCATAGATATCAGTCCCCTGAAGACCAGGCATTATTTCCTGGGAAAATGGGTGAAATGTTCAAAATAGTCCAGATTCATGTCAAAGTTTGAAAGGTTCTTTCTTCCTGTGTTTTGTCCTCAGGCCAAGTTTCCGCCCTGTAGCTTTTACATAATCCTGCTGAAAAACAAACCAACCAGCACACAAACATAACCCCTTTGGCTGAGGTAATGATTTTCATGACATGTCATCTTTAAATGGAAACTGCTCTTCACAGCAGTTCACACATAAATTAGATTTTGATTAACTTAACTTAATTTAATCCAGTTCTGTTTGTCAGTGAGAAATGTAGCAGAGGAAGTGACCTCTTTTCTGGTTGTTCTCACTTGTTTATTGTAATTAGAGCTATAAATGAAACTGTGATTGGGCTGGGGGAGGAGAGAATGCACATTGGCGCACAAAGACAAAAAAATGCATGTTCTGTGTGTGTGTGTGTGTGTGTGTGTGTGTGTGTGTGCGTGCATGCTTGCATGCATGTGTGTTTGTGTGTGCGTGTGTGCGTGCGCGTGTGTGTG